ATGGAATGGTTCAGAAAAAAAAAATATATATATAGAAAGAGAGAGCCCATATGTGATTAAGCAAGGGATAAAACGTTAGCAATAGGTGAATGTGGGTAAAGAGTATACGGGTGTCTCCTGCACTATTTTCATTTTTGCAACTTTTTGTAAGTTTGAAATTATTTCCAAATAAAAAGTTTTTCAGAACTCTTCCAGGTTCACTTTGTGTTTTCCCTGCCCAAGCCCTGCAATCAGCTTTTTCTCCAGAGGAGCTAGTGAGCAGGAATATTTAACCACATTAAAAAAAAAAAAAAAAAAAAAAGTGAATGAGAAGGAAAAGCATTCCTACCATATGGAACAGCATGACAGAAGGCAAGGAAATGTGAAATATAAGTGTAGATGATAGAAAGGATCGGTGCTGGGAAAATGGCTCTTCTGAAAAGCTAACGCAGCAAATGGCATCCCGGGATAAGCCGAAGCCTCACCCCAGAAAGGCAAAACACAGCCCTCCTGCAGCTTCTGTCCATTCACCAGCACATGTGTGATTTGGAAATGGAATACAATAAACTGACAGATTCGGCCATCCTTCAGGGGGCCAACACTATATTGCGAAGCACATCATAGAACTTAATTTTATCTATTTACATAGAATGTGCACAACTATTGTGCAGAGTGTAGAAAGTGAAGCAGCATTGGAGTAAACTTCAGCGGGAGTGGAGCAATGCTCCCTGTGAATGAGCACCCTCACCCGACCAATCAGAACGCAGGAGACATCAACCAATCCCGGCTCCTCAATGCTCTAGTCGGGGCGGGGCTGACACGCCCAGAGTTGTTTGTTTGCCTCCGCTCTAACCGTAGTCTACCCGGGGCGGGGTCGGGGGCGCGGACCGCCGAGACGAGGCAGGCGAAGTAGATTTGGCCAAAGGGTGGAGGGCATCGGATGTTAGGCCTGGCAGTTTGGGCACCGTAGTAGGTTGACAGACCCATCCCTGACAAAACCCACATTTGCCGCGCGCTCTGCGGGGCTCCTCTCTCAGAGCGCCGAGTCCAGGACGCCTTCGGGAAAACAGGTTGGAGCTGATGAGGGCTGATTTAGGAGCGAGCAGGTCTGAGAAGTATGTCAGGCTTCTCTCCCACATCCTGCCTGGGTAGGTGGTGGCGCTCCCTTTCCTCTTGGGAAGGAAGGAGGTCAGGCCCGTGCCAGGCTAGCGGCAAGCTATAAGAACTAACTCTGTCAGGATGGTGAGATTGCAGAGGGAAACTGTACAGGCGACTTCTCTGGATATTAGTGCATGTTGGTGAATGACGTGAGATGGAACGACTTCTCTGACAGGCACATATCCTGACATTTTCCATGTCTCCCATCCTGGTGACTATTCCCTCGGTGTAACTTGAGCCCTCCCTGCCACATATTGGGCAGCCTTCAATTAGCTGCTGGTCAGATGTGTCTCCCATCTAAATTTCTCCTTCCCGAGATGAGGTTCTGGCTCCCATGCTGATGCCAATCCTCAAAATCTCAGCGTCTGAGATGGGGAAGCCATGAAGGAAGGCAATCAGCTCCTTTGCTCTTTTGGAGAAGGCAGTTGGTGCCTCTGAGGGAATTGATGTTGCTGTTACTACATAGGGTATAGGAGGACCAGGTGGGGGGAGTATATTGAATCTGAGGCTCCTTCCTCTATATCAGGCTCTGTACTAAGCACTTTACATGAATTAGATCTTCAAAAACTTTACCAGGTTGGAACTATTATCATCCTTGCTTTACGGCTGAGGAAACTGAGGCCAGAGAGGTTACATATCTTGCCCGAGGACACACAGTTCCAACTGGCATAGCCTGAATTTACACCCCAGCCTGTCAGACTCCAAGCCCCTGCTCTTAATTGCAACCCAATATTACAGCACCTTCCAGCTGTCCCTTATGCCAGGCCTTGCCCTGCTCTGGATCTTCTGGGGGCCTTACTTACCTGTTGCTGCTGTTTCTGGCCTTGGTACTTGGTGCCTTGTGTTTTGGGCTTCCTGAACATTGGGACTCATTGATACGAGGGCAAGTCAGCAGCAGGTTGCCATGGTCCCACTAATTTGGAACCAGAGATTTAGGGGATGTGGCAAAACATTTGGAATATACAGTCCGACTTAGGAACTAGCCTCCCTTCTGTGGGGCCCTGGACTACCTCCACTTTATTTGGGTATCTCCCAATTCTGCCTGTATACCAAGGAGGAATGAACCAACTGCCTAAAAGTTACAGGGAAGGCTTCGGAGGGAACAACATTTTAATTAGACTTTGAAGGATATCTAGTGGTTCACAACAGAGAAAATGTGTTGGAGGGTTGCTTGGGGGAGGACATTCTAGGCCTAAGGGACAGAATATACAAAGGTTCTATCTCCTTCCTCTTTCCACAACTCCACCCTCTCCCCAGTCTTCTCCCTCAGACATCCTTGATAGCCACAGTTTCTGGTGTTGGCAAAGTGGCAGAACTTCACTTGTGTGGGACAGGCCACCCTGGAGTCTAGGCCTACTCTCCTGGGATGAAGCTCTAGGATTTCAGGAAGGGGGACCCCTACCTCCTCAGCTGGAAGGGGCTCCTGGGTCCCCACCACAGGTGGGGATTCCCTACTAATCACCTGAATCTTGCCTGTTTCTTCAGCTACTGATTTTGTTCTTTTTCTGGCTAAGAAGAGCATGTCTTCTTTTCTGCCCATTGACTGGAGCTGAAATCATCACAGCTGGCTTACACTAGCAGCCTGTCTCAGGGTCCTCTGAGTAATCATGTCCAGCTCGGGGCAGATGCATGGAAAGGGGAGGAGGACAGGGTGGAGATGACACCACAGGAAGCACAAGGACAATTTCTCCAAAATCTCTCTCTCTCCCCCTTCCCTGGGCCTCTTTCTAACCTCCAAATTCCCCCTTTCCCTTCTCTCCCTCACCTCATAAGCAAAGCTGATTTCTCTCTGGCTCTTTTCCCACCATTAACAAAGCTCGGAATTTCTTGGCTCATGACCAAGGGCCTTGGGGATCCAGGCTCCTTCAAGCCTGATCTCTGAGTGGATTTAGGCTGACTCAGTAAGAACCATGGCTTTGGTGGCCTCCCAATTGCCCCTGAGGTTGACAAAGACTTAGCTTCCTGTCCCAGTCTCTGAGGCTGGCTCCCCTCTCCATGAGCAGCCTCTGGAATTGGTACATTACTCCTCCCAGCCTTGGACCTGGGCACTGACTGCCAGACAGAGCTGCTGGACCAGTCACTAGAAGGGCATGTCCCTTCCATTTCCCTTGGTCTCCTCGTCCTCTCTAGCTGCGTGCCAAAGGAATCGCTCACAGGCAGAATGAAAAGTTGTCCTCAAGTGTCCATCGTTAGCATATTAGTTCTTGCCCAGGGTCTTTATAGGTGTACTTAGGAAAAAATGACATTCAGGTGAAAGGGCTGACACAGCCAAATGCAGGTGGACCTCACTTTGAGAAAACTCCATAAACAATGTAAATTTACCAAAACACCCAAGAGAATTCTTCTTGAATGGTTGGCAGTTATATACATCAGAAAGGATTCACTCCAATAAGAAGACTGACTTTAAGTTCTTCTTCTTCTATGTACTCTTCAAAGAGATATTTAACAGTTGGGAAGGTGGGATGTCAACTTAAAGATCATCAGGGATGAAGACAATTTCTGAAGCTATGATGCAAGTCAGTGGTGATACAGAATCTGAAGTGTGAAACTCCATTCCCTTCCCATGACAGGGCAGTTTTTGTAAATGACAGAATACTTGACCCTCATGGTCCAAGGCCAAGATCTGGGTCAAGTGCCTGTCTTGGGAAGAAGAGAGCTAACTAGTCAACCCCTGATGGGCTGGTCCAAGGGGAGGGCTAGATCACACAAAGATCCTAAGCAGAGCCCTGGACCCTCCCTCCATTCCTTCCTTGGGAACTACATGGGCCTTTGCCCAAAAGTGAGCAGCCAAGAGAAGCTGGAGTCTAGATCAATGCACAAACTCAGTCAGTATTCAGCCGTGAACCATAACGCACTGATCTGCCTGGCCCCTACTTTTACAAGACAGGGAGAGATTATCCAGTAATCTGCCAGGGTCAGATCAGTTGTGGGGGAGATTTATAGGCCCAAATGGGGACAAATGGCATTCTTTCAGGCTACAAGACTCTTTAGAGAGGAAAGAGTACAGGACTGAAGGCCAGATTTATTAAGCCTGGGAGGGGAAAGTGATTACCATTCCAGGCAACGATACTTGAGGATACTACAGGGAAAACCTCCACCATGCCCTCTACATCCCGAACCCAGGTCTCTCCAGAGAGGACCAAACAGCAGCGCCCCTTGAGAAGAGTGGAAACACCTGGACAGCCAGGACGGTTAACTAGCAATTCAGTGAAATAACACTTCCCATTCCAGACAAAAGCAACATAAGGAACTCTTCCTCCAGCTGTTTTCACTGAGTCAATAAAGAGACTAAAGCAATTATCAGAGGAAGTTTGGAAAGCCTCAATTATATATGAAACAGATGTAGGTATCCAAAACTTTTTAAAAAATGGTGTGAGATCCATCTTGATTTGCTGTCTGGTGGTACTGTCACTTGGGTACTTGTCATACCTCTCTTAGCCTCCTTGGAGGCAGCAACCATGTCTTAATCACCTTTGTATGCCCTTTAGTGCCTAACAGTGCCTGGCACATTGTTGGTACTCAGTAGACATCTGATGAATCTAGTTGAACATAAATGGGTAGGCAACCCAGCCTAAAACCCTTTTCAAGTAAAGAAACTGGGTTTAGAGCATGCAAAGAAATGTTTGAAACCCACCTGCTCTGGGCTTTACTCAAGCTGACTGGAGGAGGTTACTTCTCTTACTGCAGCCAGTCTGGTGCATTTCCACTCTCCCTTCTCGGTGGTCAAACCGGCCTGACATTAGTCCTTCCCTCTCTCTCCAGCCCAATATCAAGACGTGTACACCTGGAGAAGCAGTGCTTCAAAAATTTCTCTGTCATCATGGTGAAATGGTGAAGCTTCTGAGGTATTAAGCAATCCATCATAACGTTTGTGACCGGTTAACTTTAATTTGTCAAAATAAATCTGCAGTTTTTGCATGTTAGTAATACAGTGCTGGTATTGACAGGAAAAATCATCCATCTGCTTACATAGAAACCTTCGTTTAGGAGCACACCTTAGGAGGGAAATGGATACACAATAAAAGGCAAATGTAGGCCAAGCAGCGAGCCCTAGAGCGTAACAGGCTGGATGTCAGATTTGAGGATGATCTAATACAACTGTTTAGCTGCCAATCTGATAAAGGGGAAGCTCTCAACCAGGTTACAACCAGAAGAGAAAAACAAACTCTCTGCTTTTTTCGTGAGCGGTGGCCTTCTTGCCTTCAACATTTGGTTGAATCAGTTCATCAGCATCAAAACTCAATTCCAGTTCCAAGACAGGAGAATTTCACCACACAACCTACTCGGGCCCTGCTTTCAGTGGCCCACTGCCACCCCCAGCCTGCCAACTCTCTCCCTCCCAAAAGAAGACACGACGTGGGTTTATTATTGCAGACAAGCTTAAGTGAATAAAGAATGCATACAAAATATCATTTTAACTGAAGTCATACAATGAATTCTCACTCCTGTTTATTATACAATGAATTGATAAAGCAATCATTCCTAGTATATATCTTTTTTTTTTTTTTTTTTAAAGAACTAATACTTTTAGGGTTCTGACGACCACACTCTAGCCTGGGGGTAGGGTCCACACCTGCCCCCACTGAGGACTGCTCCTTGGGCCATTGTGGAGGAAGCCAGGGCCATCTCAATCATGGAGGATTGTGATTGCCAGCCCAGCCAGAGAGAGACGACAGGTCCTAGCGGGCAGAGCCAGAAACCGGTCCTGGGGCTGCATGCCAGGAAACGTTGGCTTCCTCCAAATGTGGCCAAGACCTGCCCAATCCAGACCTCAGCAGGGCCACGCATGGGCCTTCCCTACACGAGTCCTTCCAGTAGTCCACACATAATGCTCTACATATTAAAAACAAACCATTTTGGTACTGTGGATAGGAACAGTTGTAACAAAGTCATAGCTACATATTTTTCTCTACATTTTGTTTATTGAGACAAACTAATTAAAAGGCACAAACATAGGGCATGTTTACATGGACATTATAACAAACATATACATTAAAAGTGTAGGAATGTGTTGCCTTCCTGCTAAACAGAAAGTTCCTAAGCTTTTATATATACAAAAGTTGTACAATTTAATGTCCTAAAGTACAAAAGATCATTTATAAAATTATTTTACACTAAGTACTATTTATTTTATTTTTTTACTACGTAGTTCAACCCCCTCGAACTGTTTTGTATAATGACACACAGATACCTGTCCCTGATGTAGGAAGTCTGCCTCAGATGCAAGGTATTTTGATGCTTGAACTGACACAGTGGGGTATAAATGGAAGTCATCCAGTTTGATAGTCAGTCCTGCAAACATTCTGCAAGATTAACACAACTAATGTCCATTTCTCTTAACTGCAAGATTAAAAAAAGGAAAAAAAAACCAAAACATATTGCAACTTAAAAAAAAAATAATCACAGCGCCTTGGTTTTAGTAACTTCTTTTTCAAAACACAATGCTTTAAAAACATTAATGTGTGACATGATGGTGTAAAGAGTATCTGTCTCCCTAGCTTTTGGTTTCTACTTTGTACTATGTACAGAGATAACACATCCTGCTAAGAAATAAAAAGCACATGTCTTAACGTGCACAATCATTGCTGGATTTCTGCAGGGAGTGCAGACAGCTGTCTCCCTGAAAACCCGACAAAGCTGATACAAGTGTTTTCTCAAAGAACAAAAAGTGATGTCCATATTTACAAAGTTGAACAAATCTGCACAATACTTAAGAAACAGAAGGAGAACTTAAAAAAAAAAGATACACTCTGCTTGTTCTGAAGGGGCATACTACCTAGTTAGTGGTTAGAATAAAAACTGTATACAATTTAATATAAGACATAAACTCTAGTGAGCAACTAACACACCTTTCCCTGTTGAAATATCAACAGGCTCTGATTGGGAGAGAGAGGGGCATATCACATCCCAGTGCCTCCAGCGTCTTCCAATTAAAGCAATATATTTTAACTGTTCCAAAGTACTCCTTGACCCCTGAATAGGAGTCCCATTGGCCTCTGTTTGTTAGGAGTCTGCCTGTCCGCACACTTGACTTCTCCTCTGTCAGCTGCGGCCTTTTCTTACCAAAACACAATGTGTATATTTTGTTTGTTTTTTTAAGTTTTTTAAAAAAGTCAACTACAATGCTATATTCCATCAGGATTAGTATGCTGAGCAATATTTACATCTCCAAATATCAGGTCACAATCCCTATTATATGTTGAAGATAGAATGATAAATTATCATATGCTTTGCATATCAGAGCTGGTATCACCTTTCCCATAGGGAATGCTGCCTGAAATTAACATATTCCCAAAGGTAAAATGCATATTCTCTGAAATGCATTTTATTATGACAATGCATGTATTTACTCATAAAAACAATAAACACAGACAATTTTACACTAGCTCTCAATCCCTGGATTTAGAACTTCAGGTTAAAATCAGCCATCCACCTTGTATATATGGGGAGAAGAGTTCTGCTAGTGTTCAGAATAAAATGATTTCTTGGGATCAAAAACAGTAATGCTGCTTTTTAATTTTGAAATGGGTTTTGCTTTTTCATGATTGGTTTTAATTCCGGCTTTCATCTTGCCAACTACTATCCTGTTTAAGCAATGCTGTCAGCTAAAAGGAATTTCTGATTAAACTAAAGTGGTCCAGTGATAAGTGACATACACACCCTACTTTGAACAATCCCAGCCAAATTGGAGAATAATGCTACTACACTATTATTAACTAATGTAATAAATCTCCCAATTTCATGGTTTACTTTTTGCTTTAATAAACTAAAAGTAAGTTGCTGGTAAATATTTACTTGAACCCATATTTTGATTTTATAATACTGTTTACCAAGGTGGTGATGTAGGCAAAGCTTGGGGTAAGAAAGGCATGCTCTCTACAGGCCTCATTGCTATATTGAGAGGGGCAGCTAACGTCATAGGCGTGGGCAGGTTCATTGGAGACGTGATCGTGACAGGGTGTGCTATATTCACTGGGGCAGTGACGGGGGTGGGGAGGTTGACTGGGGTAGTGAGTGTTAAAGGAGAGGTCATGGACAATGGACTGGTTATAGTCACAGGGTGCCCTATGTTCATTGGGCTGGTTATGTTAACTGCACTTGAAACATTTACTGGACTTCTCATGCTCATTGCAGCTGCCACTGTGACTGGGTTTGACATAGTCCCAGACGACACAGAGGACGTTATATTGAATGGAGTAGTGAGAGTCACAGGTGTCGTAGCAGCCGTGGAGGTTTGGCACAGGTTAGCAGCTTCTAAAATAAGAAGACAAAAGGGCCTTTAGACTCTCAAAACAGTGAACACAATTCAGTTTCTGAATCAACTTCTTTTAATTAAAAAGGACAAACATTTAATAAATTAAATTACAGTTTTCTACCCTGTGGTCAACAGGAAGGGAGGATCCTTCTGAGCACAAGACTGGGGGCCAGGAATCCCAGCACGGGAGCAGATCTCTTCCGATGCTGTGCCTTTCACAAGACTGAGGCAACTGGCTTAGCCTTGGTGCTTTTGGTTTGGAGTTTAGATTTACTTACCTACCTCACAGTGATGCTGGAAGATCAGGTAATTTCTGCAAGGCACTCTGGGGGGCAGAGATATCAAGTAGGGCTAAGTTTTCTCACTACCACTTCCATGTAGTTCCTCTGAATTCTAAAGACTTTCCCGGGAAGAACCAAGCACCCACAGGCCAGGCTGGAAGAGCTTGTTTACACAGAGCTGGGCAGATGGTTACACAGTAACAGATAATCAGAAAAATCTTCTCACAAGGCATACTGTAACTAGCAGAGAGAGGTGTGTGTCCTCGATGCTATGTACTCTAAAGCCTTCTCAGAGGTGAAGCCACATTCTGTTAAGGTTTTAAAACTCCATTAAGTAGGGATGGATAAACAAGCTGTTTTAATATCATCTGTTTATTTCAGTCTTAGAAAAATCATTTTAGTTAAATAATCCTGTTGTTTCTGGTTGTTTCTTAACGTTGTTTAGAATGAACAAGTATCCCTCAGTAGGTTTATGTTCTCCTCCCCGCTCCCGTATCTTCTTCTCTTTCTGAGGCTAACATAATCACCTACTTTATGCCTGGTGTCATTTAACTATACGTATTCCACACACCACCAGCCATACCAAGGGGGACTAGCCAGGCTAGGAGACCCTGCAGTGAGCTGGGGGACCGTGGTCCTTGTTATCAGCAAAGCCTGGGCACTTCTTAAGGAAAACTTCCCTCACAGGTGACACCCCTTACACCACCCCGCAACAAAATTCAGCACCACCTGCTGGTGTGTCAGAAAAGTGCAGTAAGAAGACAGATGGGGGTGCTGGCTGTGACTTGGCTGTCAAAACGGAGAAGTGCATTTGAGACTAAAGATGGAGGTCTGCCCGCAGGCCACGCATGGTCAAATCACCTCAGGTGGACCCTTGAGTCAATGAGCAGCCCTTCCTTGATGAGCATGATGTAACCTTGGCATTGCTCCATACTCTGTATCAGGGATTCCCAAACCTGGCTGATGATCAAAATCATTTACCTAGGGAGGTTTTTTTGAAAAAAACTGCTTCCCAGGAAATTCAATTGTGAGATTTAGATGGAACCTGGATATCTATCTATCTAAAAAGCTGCTGAGATGATGATCTCATTGTCATCCAGGTTTGGAAACTTATATTACCTTATTTAAGCCCAATATTTAAAAGGGACATGCTGATTCAAGTTCAGGTTTTCAGGTCAGGAGTCTCTTCTCCCCCCAGACGTGACATTTACTAACATGAACACAGAAGTTTCTAACATCAGTGGTCGTTTCCAAAGAGATTCATGCAACAAATGGGAATACAATAGCATTTTGTTTCACGCAGATCAGAAGATGAGCTAAACAACTGAGTCTTATTGTGCAAGCACACTGAAATACAATACCAAACAGAAGAGTGCAGAAGAAAAGAATGAGGGAGAAAACCGACTCACTTTTGAGGTGATGGTAGCATGCTAAAAATATTCTCCTCCTGTTTTCACCAAATAAGCTTTCACTTACTTGGTGGGTGTGCCATCTCCCCACCTCCCCTTCATTTTCTTTTTAATCTAACCCTATCCCTTTCTGTAACTTAAACACTTTTACTCCTTCTCTGAGCAAAGCATCCTTCGTATTTCAACCTTCGCTTTCAACCCACTATGCAATTATCACGGCACATACACACATATAAATTTTTCTCCCCTACCCACCATTCTCCATCCCTTCTCTTTATCACAAAATATTTAATCAAAATAATGACAAATATTCATTTGGAAGATAGGAATAAGCAGCATCTGAGGCAAAGTGGAAAGCCTATCTGAACTGCTGCATTCTTTCCTCCAGTGCCAGTAGATATATGGAAAAGCTATTCCTTTTATCTTTTTCCAAGTACAGAATGTTTAGAAGGGATCTGAGGAAGGGAATAGCTGCACTACATGAACGCAAAGGATGGAAGAAACTACACAGCAAAGGAATTACAGCACAGCCTACATGCAGGGGATTCCTTATGAATTTAAAATAAAACAGTAAGACATGACAAGGGTGGGGAAGGCAAAACGGAATTTAGGAATCTGTCCTGTGGCTGATGATACATTGACAAAATGATTTAACTGAAATGGCTGCACAGTAGTCCAGAAGCCAAAGCTACAACTACTAAGTTAAAAAACTGTGCTGAAAACCGATACTCCAACCGCTTCTTTATGAGATATATATGAGAGAAAAGCAAACCATGCCCAGTTTTAGTAACAATTACAGTAAAGTCACTAACAACTGAAGTACATACATGTTAAGCTAATGCCAGCCCCAGTGACAGACTGAATTAGATTAAGGGTGAGACCGAGAAAAAAGACATCAGCGTTATAGAGTCTGAAATATGTAATAAATAATAAAATTCAGAAAGAACACTAAAGAGCAGAAAATAACACAGTTGTAAGAAAATGAACTTATGTACACATAAGGATATTTCATCTACCTTTAAGAGTGGGACTATTTTAAAAACACAAAAAGGAGCCTTTAATGCATGAAGGTTGACATAAAAATGAACATAAAAAGGAACTCTGAGCGTACACAGCAAAGGACCAAATTTGGCTACAAATGTGTAACAAAATTAAGTCACAAGAAAGAACCTGACAAGAAGTACTAAGAATTTTTATTTCCTAGTAAAAAAAACTTACTTGGAAGCTTGGAAGCTTTGTTGCTAATAACTTTACCAGGTATTTCCTAGCATACAGTATCTCCTTAAAGTGTTTCCATAAAGCCGAATTCTCTAAGCTGTGGCTGTTTTACTTTGTTACTTGGCATACTAGATGAAAACACTAGCCACGCTGTGAGCACTGGATGCCTCATCTTACCTTTCTTTCTTGCTTTGACAGCTTCTTCCCACAGTCTCAGTGTCTCTACCTGCTTCCCTGGCCAGCTCGTCACATGCTGCTGCTGCTGCTGCTGCTGCTGCTTCTGGCTGCTGGTCTCTTCACTCATGCACGCTGCTCCAAAGACAAAGACAGAAACGCTATTATTTACCTGGAAAAAGTGTGGCTATTTTTTCAAAATCCGAACTTAGATACTTTGACTCCTCATGCCTCTATGATCTTTATCATTTGACCTGATGGTTTTTTACTATAGTACATCTTTTGTGCTGCTGTGTCTCTACTGGTCAAAATAGATAAATTTTAAAACTCCAGAGAGCTAGGGAAAACCAACATAAAAGAATTCTTTGCTACATTAAAAAGCAAGTATCTTTTAGAATGGAACTTGGGTAATATTAGCATGGAATAATTAATGCTCATCAAAATATGTAACATAGTTACCTGACCACAACGATGTACATTAAAAGTAAATTTCTGTAAAGTTAACAAAGTTTGACGTGCTAGATAATAAACCCAATGTACTTACAAAGAAGCAAAAACGAATGAGATTGAAACACATTAACCATTCTTTCCCATTCACTTTTGGCCACCTATTCTGAGAATCTGATGTTTCTGCAGCATGAAGTACATATATAATACAGAATTAGGAAAACACTTTCTTCTGATGGTTAGGGAGATCTTAGAAAAAAGCCTGGGTAAATGCAAGTATTGAATTTTATCCACAAGTCCCTGGAATATTCTATCTTTTCAACTCTGAATTTAAGGTAAGCAAAGCATTTAAACGTTCAAATGGGTACGCTATCCCTTTTCTCTATAGATTTGGGTTTGAGAAGTAAAATTATGTAACACTGCTTTTATCTTTAGGTTATGAAGGACATGTTATCAATACTATCAGGAGTTAGGGGGCACTCGTGCCTGAGAATCTTCCTTACATTAAATAACATCAGTTAAAATTGCCTGGCATAAGATGCAGCTTCCTAGTATGGCTTCTGCTGCCACGATCCTAACACACTAAAGCTTTTTATTCAAACCCCATAGAAGAAGGGACACACTGAAAAATAGCTGCAGGGAAATTGTGCTCTTCTAACTTGGACGTTATTAGTAGACAGTACAGGATTAAAAGCAAAATAAGTGGAGAGTTTATCATTGTTGCCTGTATACATGTACGTAAAGTGTATTTCCAACACTAATATACACCGTCCATTGACGCGTGTTTGCATACTGTAGCAACAGGAGGAAACAAGTAAGGTGAACATTAACATAGTCCTGAGAACACAGGTGAAAATATCTTCAATATATTATAAAAAAAAAAAAATCTAGATTCCATCAATCTGAAACGCAAAAGAAATACAATTTGGGCTTCCCTGGTGGCGCACTGGTTGAGAGTCCACCTGCTGACGCAGGGGACATGGGTTCGTGCCCCCGTCCAGGAAAGTCCCACATGCCGCGGAGCGGCTGGGCCCTTGAGCCATGGCCGCTGAGCCTGTGCGTCTGGAGCCTGTGCTCCGCAACGGGAGAGGCCACGACAGTGAGAGGCCCGCGTACTGCAAGAAAAAAAAAAAAAAAAAGAAATACAATTTGAAGTGTCACCTACTTTTACTGATGCCTTGTTTACATGTATTACAGTTGATACTTTGGCTCTGCCCGTGTGTCTTTAAGTGGCTGGTGATGTATGCTGCGCTCAGGAGCTTCCCACAGATGTTACAGGATACCTTGCCTTCGTGGCGTACCATGTGTGTCCGCAGTCTGTCTTTGGTGGCAAAGGCAGCAGTGCACGTCTGCATGAGGGAGGAAAACTTTTTTTAAATATAGACTATCCTGTTCTACTCATTTTAAAGTACGTTATATTCTAGGTATTACCCTACTCATGTCAGCAAGCAGACTGAGTTAGCTGAATTTTAACTGCATGTGTTACCTAGAATTGTACTCACGATAAAACACCTGGTGAATTTTAGACTCTTACATTTTGAGGGGAAGAAAAAAATATCAACAGAGTAGTGAAAGATGTGAGCTGTAGAGTCAGTTAAACCCGGATTTAAATCCAGCTCCCTGACTCACTAAACAATGTAATACTCAGCAAGTTAGCTAACCTATCTGAATTTACTTCATCTGTAAAATGAAAATAATACCTACCTCACAAAATTACTGGTGGATTAAGAGCCTGGCCCAAGGCCTCATGACAGGTAATCACTCAATGACACTAGCTTCCTTCCTCCAATTGGATTTTTCTTAGAATTCGAATCACTTACTTAATAAAATCAGTCATTAACAAAATTTAACTGAAAGGAGCACAAAAAGACTTCCAGCAAAAAACCAGAATTACTGACGCCTAACACGGTCATTTCATTTAGCAAGATTCTTAACCTCTTCATTACCACAACTTATGTCATTAGAGAACGCTCCAATTTGGCGATAGCAGACAAAAATCCAGTAAGTGGTAACATTTGGGAGAAAATTCATATTTTCTTAGATTATGGTTAAAACAACCTCAATCATCAACCCAGAAGTTAATTTAAAACACTTCATTCATTTATTCTTTTCAAATAAACGACCTTTGCAAGACAATAAATTTTTTTTCTTATAACAATAAATACTGTTGCCCAAGGAAAATGAAATGTAGCTTAACAAAAACAACATTTACATTTTTAAATGGTCTTGCCTCACAGAAATAGAAGCTGTCATTTATATTTTATAAAACCAGAATTCAAATGGACCACATTTACTCAAGTCAGTGATTTTACGACTATTCAAGAAAGGTGAGATTTGACTGGCTCAGACCTTCTGGATAATGTGCATTAAGTGCTACACTAAGGATAAGTCATTTTAACTCTTACTTGGCATTTGAAGGGTCTTTCTGTTGAATGGACATGTTTTACGTGACAGCTTAAGTGGTCAGGCCTGTGAAAGAGAGAGTTTCAACAGAAGATGTAATGGAACACACATAGAGAAATGCTACTTACTGTGATGTTTACATGCTTGGCAGACATGGGTGGGGGACATTTTAAAGAAAGACAGCAGAATTACCAACTCCCCCACCCCCCAGTGCAAGCCTCCTTACCTCTCTTACCATAAACAAAAGTCTTAGTCCTTTATACCTGTTAATTTTCTTTCCTAGTCAACATCAAATCATATTAGGTCTTGATTCTTTACAATTACAAAATACCCAAAGTTTAGTCCTAACACTTGCCAGAGACAACTGCTACTACATTAACTTTAAAAGCCTTTAAAAATGAAAATTAGTGAAATGTTAGTAACCACAGAAAAATGGAAAAAAACGTTCTCTTAAAAGTTTTAAGAGATTCCAAGGTCATCCCAACTTCCAGGATATGTTTCTTTGGTTTGTGCAGTGAATCTCATGTCCAGCCACCCAAATGAATTGAAAACTAATGGTTTCGCAGTGATAAGAAGTACTGATGTGCCGAAAGAAGGCCTGAGTCCACCAAGGCACTTCTTAAATGAAATAGTAAGTTAATCACTATGTCACCACTTGTCAGCCACACCAAACTGGAATTAGACCTGGAGGTGTAATACTTTATCTGTCACCAATCTCCTCTAATAACACAGGCCTGCAAATATCTATTCTCACATAAACCTTCTAGATCACGCAGAGATCGTACTGATACCATAATGAAAAAAAAAGCAAAGCAAAATGCAGTACCTCGAGAAGCCTTTCCCACAAACACTGCAAGTATAGGGTTTGGTGATGCCTCCTTCGTGAGACCTCACGTGGTAAGTCATCCGGTCCTTCCTCTTGAAGCGCTGATTACAAATAGGACACTCGAAGGGCTTTTCGTCCGAATGGGAGAGCTTGTGCCGATTGAGGTGGTACACATCTCGGAAGGCCTTCCCACACATCTCACAAGCATGGTTCTTCTTGACAGGCTTACTGGGTTTCTTGACAGACTGCGTCACGGGCATAGCTGTGGTGCTGGCACTGCTGCTGGGGTTGGTGCCCGAGGAAGATGTAGTGACTGTTGACAAGATGCCTGCAATGGTTGAGACCAACGAAGTTCGGCTGCTGTCCCCAGCGATGGTGGAGATAAGGGGAACCACCGTGGTGGGGGTTTTCTTTGGCCGGGACACCAACTTGATGCCTGTGTGGCAGGACTCGTGGCGCCTCAGGTGATAGCTGTCCCTGAAAGCTTTACTGCAGTAAGTGCACACAAAGGAAGTTTTGGGTTTTTCTTTTTTAATCCCAATGGCATCCTTTAATGTTTCTGGAGCAGCCTGAGGTTTCTGACTTATTGGTATTGGAAGCAATGGTTTCTGATCAGGGGGCTCCACAGCAGAGCTCAGGAGGGGCAGCAAGCTGTTCTGTGCTGCCTGCTGTTGGTGATGGGAGGCTTCGTGGGCCTAAAACCAAACATTTACACTTCAGAAATTCAGCCTCTCACAATGACCTTCAAAATTCAACATGCTTCAGACAATAGAGACCAGAAGAAACAATCAAGGAGCCTGTAAGCTACTCTCTGCAGCAGAGATCCAGCAACCACCTAGCTACTCTCAGAGCTCCCAATACAAAGCATTAAAATCACTGCACAGACACAAAACTTTTGCGAGTAAGTTGCTGACAGTGATCTTGCTTTCAAACAGCTGACTAAACTACACACCACCCTGGTTCACAAGGGACATACCAGCTGATGAAATGGGTCTGCATTAGTCTGTCAGTGCTGAGACCAAGTTTAAATAACTTGTCAAAAAAATTACACTCCAGACTTAACTATTTAACAGTACCTTACTGCAGTAATCCACAAGCCACACTCACACATACACATATAGACATGTAATCATCTACTTGTCTATTTTACCTAGGAAAATAGATGTCTCTCCCCTTCCATCACAAACTCTCAGTGACCGAGGAAAGAGGCTGTTGCTAAGTAATACAAGGAATCTAGGTCTCTGAATACATATGCTAGTGGTTAAGTTTACGTTTAAAGTTTCCACTTAACTCTACTAAAAGATTTGGTTGAAATGGAATCTGCTATTAATCATCCTGGAAGGCATCTGTGAAGGCAGCCCCCAGCAAACACCTGTCAATTGTTTCTCAGTTCATTTAATCTTACACTAGAAGTCTGCATCCTTTAGCAACACTAGCTGTTCAAACCCTAAACTCAGACTAATAAGAAAGAACAAACTATAAATAATTTAAATTCCTTTCATTTTCATCTTCTTCTAGCAGTGGTAGGGCGAGTTAAAGTATTGGACATTTGCTGTTATAAAGTGCTTTTCCACTCCAAAACTGGGAGCTGGACAATGTTTGGAAATTTTCTTTAGCTGCACTGAAACCAAAATTTCATTGTGGGTCGGGTTCTTGGTATTTAGGAGTAGTTACTCACTTGGTTTTGATTCTTCCAAAATTCTCCATACCTCTATACTGATTAACATTTAGGAAATGATGGGAAAAAATTCCTGAAATAGTTCTTCCTAATATGCTGTATTTGATCAACATTATTTTTGAAACTCTGGACAGTGAGCTCGAGCCCCTATGCTTGAGTTTTGTCATCCTAAAAGGATACATGCACTCAGAGGTAAGAGTTCCAAATATTTTAAGCATACAGTGTCCTAGGAAGGGCCCATCCCATCATCTCAGACACTCTAGACACTTATTTACCCTTTTCACTCTAAATCTAAGTTCTACATTACACTCCATTAAGTAAAAAAATATGGAGACACACAGACGCACTCACACAGAGCTCCTCTCCTGACGAGTAAGAACACCTACCACACGCAGCTCCATGTTTACTTGATAGCAGCACGACAGCTAAGCCTAGAACCAGACTTCCCTAAATCATCAGGAGGTGTCATATCCAGAGTTAACCACTTTCAATTTAACTATTTTGACTGAATCTTCCTTTGAGTCCTGGAAGTACTCATAGAAATTGTGTGCTTACTTATGAGTATCTTTCTGGACTTAGTGCTCACACTGAGTCCACTTTTAATTTAATTTATGGAGCTCCTGTAATTGTCAGGGTCTACCCAAGTGACTTTAGTAAAAACTTTATAGAATTTGGACTCTAATCTTACCCCCTTTCCAACCTGGCTGTAGGATGCCCAAGCTTCCGTACAGTATACAAACGGTTAATAGCTGAAGATAGCTCAAGATATACAATTTCAAAGGCTAACAGATCAGATAATAGGGAAAGCAAATCTTCTGGACAAAGTTCAGACTTATAGTGTTCAGAGGCATTTTTCAATTCTAAACAACCATTAGTTCGATGGAGTACTAAAAGCACTTACTGCCATTTTACCAATTCAGATGTCTGTGGCAACATAAAGTATTTTTACAGCATTGCTGAAGCTCACTCTCACAGGAGGGTCACACCAGGTCCCTGCTTCTCGGGTGAAATGCTGTAGAATGCCTCGCCCACTACGGGAATCACTCTCTGAGGATTCCTAGGATCCCCACACTTCTATATGAAGCCTTCTAAGAGGGGAACTGGGTTTCCCCAACTTGTTCTCTGAGGGAGAGACAGAGTAAAATAACAACCATGGCCTGCCTTCCGTTAAGTGATTTTTAAAAATATGTAACTTCTGGGTAGACTTTTATTTGACTAGCATCATCAAACCAAAGTTTTAATTTTATCTCCCATCTCTTTCAACTGCAAGGCTTTTTTAACCCTGCCCAAGCTTTCCTCTTCTGGGGCTGGCAAAAAAAACAAAACAGAAATGTTATTTCATCACCCAGGGTGGTAGGATATGGCACCATGAAATCTCCAGTGCCAGAGGGTAAAAGATTTTGTTCTGAAGGAAACTGGCATCAGTGAGTCATATCTTGAATGTCCTATTAGGAGAATCATTCATCAAACACTTTAACAGATATGGGTTTCACTTTCCACCAGGTTACTTGGAAAGCAAGCAGGTATTAAATTGTTTTAAAATATAAATTCAACAGGACGCTCCAGGAAACAAATGAGAGAGTTTAACTCTCCATTTCCCCAGTGAAAATTACTTAAAACTGGAACTGAGTAAGTCTATTCATACCTTTCCAGAGAAAAGACTGAAATATTCTCTTTACCCATTCAACTGTCCTCGGCTCTAAATTATAAGTTTTCCAACAATTTTCACTGCACACATTGCCAAGCCCAGGATCAAATATTAGCTTTCACACTTCTCCATCAGGTGGAAAAAAAGATTTTAATAGCTGAAAAAAATTAAATAATATAAAATCTAATTAAAAAGTTGATCATTAAATGCTTGGCATTTGCTTTCCCCAGGAAAAGAATAATAAAAGTATTCCAAAAGATTTTTCAACTAGTTTTCCAAAAATTAGTTACGGGGTTTTCCTTTACATAAAGAACTCTCGTTTTTTTCCAATCTCCATTGAGAGCACGTTTAATATGGTAAATCTAAATCATTCCTCATGTGAAAAATCACTGCAGTGGCCCATTAATCCCATATTTTAAAATGACCATTTGAAAGCTTTTTCTAGAGAGGGCATTTGCCACCTTTACACCAACCTGGATGCAAGCTAGTTATGTATCATTTTTTTCCAATGCATTTTTAAGTTGACTTATCACATTATCAAGCTCATCAAAGCACTTGTTAAAACAACACAAGATCACAATAAGGGCCAAGTTAGTGAATTCCGTAATTTTGGGTATGTTCAATTTTAAGAAGCCCGAATATATTTCAATTACTTAAAAATCAAATTACTCACATTCGAAAGAATATGTCTTAAAACAATAAACCATCTCTACACAGTAGGCACTGTTTGAATTATCCAGTTCCTTATATTAACTCCACTGGGATGGGTCCAGTGGCTGGGAGGATTTTTTTTGAAAATTCTGCATCCGTTCCTGGTTAGTTCCAAAAGGTCTCAAGCGCCCAAGCTACGCATTTGGGATTTCACGAAGTTATTCAAAGAAGGAAAATAACTCAGAGAGGCGGGAAGAACGCACTTAAAGTGACGAGCTTCCTAACCTCCGGTTCCTAAGTTTCCCCGTGAGCTCATTACTACTACCCATTAAGTGCTTCGTTTTCAAACAGAAACGAAGCGGGGAAAAAATAAGTTCTAGGTCTTCCAAATAGGGGTCCCCACCTCAGATGGGCGGGCAAGAAGGTTGCCAACGCATCGGCTACAGTCACCTTCAAGTTTCTTGCAAAAAGTGAAGACCAACACCCCACGAATGACTCATCTGGGGGCTCTGTAAGCGGACTTTGTTTGCTCTCTCCACTGGCCGTCTCCCCCACTTGGTTGGAGGAAACGCTAAAGGTGGGACGAGAGAGAAACGCGCCCCAGCAGAAGGTGGGGCCTCCCGGAGTGCCGGGCCCCCGCCCCCCCCCAACCCCCGGCCGGGGGATTCCCCGGGCTGAATGGGACGGCGGTAGAGCTGGACAGACGGAGAGGGTGTCAGCTGCCAAGGCTCGGCACTGGCTTGGGAATGAAAACACGTAAATCCAACGAAAAAGTTTGGGGAGGGGATACACGTTTACAGCACCCCCCAACTGGGTAAACATGAGGGGGGCGGCGGGAAGGGGGAGTGGCGGGGAGCCCAAGGATACCCGCTATTCGCGGGGACTCGAGCGGGGGGGGCTTGTCAGAAAGTCAACATATACACACAAAAAGAAGACAGGGAGGTGAAAAGAACGGAGAGCGAGCGAAAAGATGGATGAAGTGGGGGGGAAGTGAGCAGGACCCGGGGACCCCCCTCACCCCACGGTGCGGGCCCGGGCCCGGCGCGCCGTGGCCGAGCGGACCGCGCTATCCAGCGGCCCGGCGCCCTCCTTTCTCTGGGCCGCGGCTGGTGACAGCGACCGGCCTCCTCCCTTCCCCTTCAGGGCGGGAGGGAAGGGTGTGTGTGTGTGTGTGTGCGCGTGTGTGTTTGTGTGCTGGGGGGGACCGGGGGTCACCCCGAGGCCTGCTCTCTTCCCCGCACCCCGTGAGGCCGCCTCCTTTCACCTCAGCAGCCCCGCTCCGCCGAGGCGGGCGGGCGGAAAAACAAAGGGGGATTAAGGCCGGGCCGGAGAGCGGAGCCGGGAGGGAGGGGAGGAGGAGCGCCCGCCCGCCCGCCAGCCCCGGGCCCGGCCCCCCTGTCCCCCCCGTGTCCCCCCCGGGGGGGGCCCCCCGTACCTGGAACAGGAACGCGGTCCAGTTGGCCTCCATGGCTGCAGCGGCCGACCCCCCTCCTCCCCACTCCCCCCCGCTCGGGGAGCCTCCTCAGGCGGAGGAGGCGACAACAAAGCGGCGGCGGCGGCGGCGGCAGCGGCAGCGGCGGCTCCTCAACATGGCAGCGCCGAGCGCGGCCACTTCCGGTAACCTCCGGGACGCACCACCGCCGCGGCGAGCGCGGGCGGGGGGGGAGCCCCGACCCGGCCGCCGCCGCCCCCAGTGGCCCGGACCCCTCCCGGGCGTCCCCGCGGCCCGCTCGCCGCCTCGGAGCTCAGCCAGTGCCTGCGGGCGGTGGGGTCAGGGCCCCCGCGGGGGGGCTGGGGTGGGGCCGGGGGCGGGGATGGGGCGCGGCGTCCCCCCCCGCGGGGGTGTGTGGTGCTGCGGTCCGTGGCTCAGGCAGCTGGAACAGGGGGAGCTCAGGAGAGAAGATGGAGGACGCCAGGGTCTGGCGCTGGCTCGCTGGGCACGGCCGGGCCAGCTCCCGTGACTCAAACCCGGTGCCCGACAGCATCGCGTCCCTCTCAGGCCCTCAGCGGAAGGCACAGGCCACGGTGGCCCCCGGGCTCTTCAGTTCCTTTCGCGCAGCACAGCCCCTACCTCCAAACTGGGGGAAGCCCCTTCGACTTGCAGTGTCTTTCCCCTCTGGTATTTCATTCCAGCGAAACCTTCCGCACTCTTGCTGGATACGCATCTACCTCTGAGTGGCCTTCCAACTCAAGCAGGGAATCCCACTGGGGTGCAGCCTCAGATCCTCCCTGTGCGGAGGGAAACACTTCCCACGCGTAGAGGTGTCATTACTGGGTTATTCTTGGGTGAAGGGCTGAGCTTCCCCATCCTCTTCTTAACTCCAGATATGATGTGAAATTCTATCGAACACCCCCCTCTCCCGCCAACAAAAATATTTTTTTTTAATTAAAGAGAAAGTACAGACAAAAAATTGTTTTAGTGCTTTAGTACAGTCTACTTCCTCACCCCCCAAAACAAGAATCGAACTTCTGGTTGGACAGCGCCAGTTGTCACTGAGGTGACCCCAGCCTCTGTTTGCAGTTCCAAGTCTTCCGTGTAGGCGTCACTGCTACTGGAACTTTGTACGATGATGCCCTGAACATTTTCTATCAAAGACAAGCTGTTATTAAACAAGTGCCTCCAGTCCAAGAAGTCTCCTGTGGCGGGAAATGAGGAGGCAGCCTCTATCAGTGATATTTTTGTAAACTCTGGCTTTAAAAAATTCCACAGATGGTCACATTATTTCAAGACTTCAACCTCTTTCATAACCGACTGTCTCTTATCTCATTCCCTCCATTTATTCCTCTTAAATCACATTCTAATCAAGGTCACCATCTCCAACTTCCCCCATACATACACAATAAAAAATAATATGGTTGAAGAATTCTATTGGTAAAAGAAACTGAAGAGGTATAGTAATTTGACAGTCTGTGTTTCCTTTCCATCGACTACACATATATACCCCCTTCCCACACTTTCCTTCCCTCAGTCACCAGAATGAAGGGGCTGGCAAACGTTGGTCTGGTTCCTTTTAGAGTTGATTCCCTACTGGACACTGCCTGGAGGCCTTGGGAACGAATGAGAAGTTCTGCAGTTTGGATCAGTGGCAGAAGCAGGTAACACATCAGGGAACCAGTCAGCCTAAGACAGGAGGGGACAGAAAATGATGAATAGTTTCTGATTACATTCCTCAGCTAAACTGCTACAGTGGCCCCTATGTCTCCTATAAATGTCCATTAGTCTCTTTTGGAAAGAAATAAAATGGTTCAGGAAGCCTAAGTTTATATATACATACAAGATAAGGAGAGAACTAAGATGTAAACCTAAGGAATCAACTAGGTCAACTAAAACCTTTTTGCTCTGACCTCGGACACTTCGTATTCTTTTGTTTTCATTCAATGAATGCACCTTCTTTCCTGTTTTAACGTATTCACTTCGAGGTCTCTGTAATACATCTCCTCAGTCTTCCCTTCCCTGTATAGCCTCTCCTACTTTGCTGCCTTTCAAACTGTGGTGAAAATGAAGTTTCAGGATTATAAGACTAGTACTTGATGAAGACCATTTTTCTACTGACAATATTGCCACACTCTCTTGAACTTCTTTTCCCAGGATCTAGAAAACCTTTCTCTAGCAATCCTTCTCACAACCTCTGGAGAGGGGTCTCCCCACTACCACAAAGTAGAGGTCAAGTAAAAGCAGGCCAGTTCTCATTACTGAAGAGCTGGGATTCAGAAGTATCACTTTTCTTGAGGTAAACGGCTAATTTTTATCTCTATCCATGAGATGAAACCAGAATTCCTGATTGCTCCGAATTTTCTTTCCCATTAAAAATAAAAATTAAAAAAAAAAATAAAATAAAATAAAAATTAACAATCTTTTAAATTCAGATGAAATTTTAAATCTTAGGATATTTTCCAGAGAAAATATCCAAAAGTTTGGAATGAGTACTCAAAAACAATCAGCTCCAACTGTTTTGAGGAATATAATGAAATTAGGAGGGTCAAAGATTCCATTCTTAGGACAGAAAAAATCCTTAACCACAAACAAAATGAACCCCTCCTCAAGCCTGCTTCCACAGACTATACTGGGGTCCAATCAAAACACTAGCAATGTCTGAAGACAATAAATTCTTATTGATTATTGTAAACAACTTTCAGTGAATGAATCAATGGTGTTACCTCCAGTTATGATGTATAACTGAAATGTCTGGTGTCTAAGCCAAAAAATATATGTGCCTACATCCACCCAAATAAAATTCAGATTCCCTCCCCACCCTGTTCAGGTTCTTCTTTCCCATCTCCCCTGCCCCAGTGTGTATAACATGTCACTTAATCTTTTAGGGCCTCAGTTTCCTCATCTGGAGAATGAGGACAAAATAAATACCTATCTCACAGAGACAGGACTGTGGATTAAATGAGAAATGTGTATAAAAAGCTTAGAACATTTCCTGGAATATAACAGGTGCTAAGCAGATGTTTTTATTGGTGCTACTGAGTCAGGTTCTAGATTAATTCTGGGGCTAGGAACTCTGCATAAGAGCTCTAAGCCAGTTCTTACTTTCTCTCAAAGTAACAGGTTTTCCCCCTGCCCCATCCCCCTCTCCTTTGAAGAGCCCTAAGGTAAAGGGCCAAAAGGCTAAGGACACATGACAAAGGAAGAAACCTACCAAGATCAGCATTTACAAGGACAACTTTTAGCAAACATTAGAAAGTAACAGGATATTTCCTTCCCATTTTGGAAAGGATTTTAAAATCCTGTGAGTACGTTAAGGATTAAGATTAGATGCAGAATCCTAGGCATAGAAACTATCTCTGCTATTGTCAATTACCCTTCCCAAGAAAGACTAATCAACAAACCAAAACCAAATCAAATCCAAAACTGTCCATAGAGTCTATCTAGTTAGAAGCAGCTTTAAATTGGCAGTTAATGAACAAACTCTTCATGCAAGAAAGCTGGAAGTGACAATGAACAGATCTACTAGTAAAAGGCAAGACTGCAATACTTAGAAATACCAAAAACATTGGCCAGAGAGAAATGTTACCCTGCATTATCAGCCTCAGTGTAATCGGGGAGAAGGGACACACACCCTACCAGACCAAAGGCAACAACACACACACACACACACACACACACACACACACACACACACACACGCCCAAAAAAGAGACAAAAACAAGCCTCTCTGGGAGGAAAGCAGAAGTAATCTCCCCACCCCACCTCCCCACACTAAGGGCTTAAGCCACTTGCCTGTGGCCCATGTGGCCAGAAGCTGGATTTGTGTTTCAATTCTACCACCTGAAGTGTCATCACTAGTTTATTTCTGTTTTAACTGGTAAGGTGAGGAAGGGGAAACAACGAAGAATTTTTTTTCCTAAACACCAATTTAAGTTCCTTGACGGCTGGAACAGTCACAGAGAACAAAGGGACAGGGAACAAACCTACCCATTTTCCTAGTAGACATTTAGTTTAACTGGTAGTTGAGGGTCCTTAAACACTCTATTGTTTGTAAGAAGGGCCATATACCCAAGACGCCCAAAACATATCCAAAGCCAATGGAAACACATTTATCACCTTAACTCTTTTTGAAAGAAGCTGCCAGAAATCAATGCTTAACCTATCAGTTTCTTCCACAAAGCATTTGAGTAGAAATACCTTCCGTTTTACAACTCCTGAATGGCTGTCAGAGGACATCCAACAAATAGCAAGCAAAACAGCATAGGACACAAGAAGGAAAGAAACTAAGATAGGTCAAAAATACACCAAGTAAGAAATTCAATACAACTGGAAAACATACTCTCAGGCACCAACATTTCTCCTTTGGACACCTGTTCCTCCCTGCCCTCAGATGCCCCAAGTCCAGGGTAATGGCTGAGCTTGAAAAAAAGTTGCCACTTAACAGGTCACGCAAACTTCGTGGGCCTTAACCAACAACTACAAAGCTTAATTCAGGACTTCCCTGGTGGCGCAGTGGTTGAGAGTCCGCCTGCCAATGCAGGGGACACGGGTTTGTGCCCCGGGCCGGGAAGATCCCACATGCCGTGGAGCGGCTGGGCCTGTTAGCCATGGCTGCTGAGCCTGCGTGTCCGGAGCCTGTGCTCCACAACGGGAGAGGCCACAACAGTGAGAGGCCTGTGTACCGCAAAAAAAGCTTAGTTCAGTTACATCATGCTAATAAGTCAAAAACATAAATTAAATCCCTACATAAGCAGTTATTTTGGTACAAAGGAAAAGCTCTTTTCAGTGGTTATAGCCTCCACCCCAAATATATTCCACTGGTTAAAAGAGGGATGTAATGACACTAAACAGCATTGTGCTGGTAGCCAACTGCGTTACCAGAAAAATGATTCATTTGCAAAAAAAATTAAAAAATAAAAATTAGTACTTGTTAATGCCTGTCCAAATGTTCTTGTGAAGAGTGGGGCAGGGCAAAAACATACATATATCAAGTGAATACTCTTTACCCAAACTCCCAACAGAAACATCTCTTCAATTTCTTCTTCATTATCAGACTTGAGGATAGTCCAGAGTTCATATGGGATTCTGTTTCTCAGAAGTCTCCAAAGAGTTACCATATTAATACATGCAGATCTTATGGCTCCCTCTTTCTGAGTTGGTGCTCCTTCCTCTCCCTTTCATTGGCCTAGATAAAAAAAAAGCCTCATTGGGTCAATATGATCTTTGACTGAGGATCCCTCCATTCCTGGTAGTGAAGGAAACAGGAAATAATGAAACAAGTGTTGAGGAACCTATGCAGTATGTTCCTTGGGTGAGGGACATGAACAGTGGTGACCTAAGACACTGATGTGACATCACAAGACTAGTTAGACTAAGCTTTACGTAGGCTGCTCCATTCTAGGCAGCAATGCCAAGAGATGGCAACACAAGGCCAGAACAGCATAAGATCTGGCTAAGGCTCCAGGAGAGAGATCTGCTTCTTTAAGGATGTTTCTTGACTCAAAAGTCTCTGAACTAGAAGCTGCCTAAAGTTCTCCAGTCAGTTATCTGATCCAGGCATGTAAGCAGGTGCAGGGAACCTGGCAAGCTGGTTGTTAAAGCTCTACACAGGGACAACAGCTGTACTCAGCATTTACTCCTTAAGCTGGGGAATAAAACATCAAGCTTACCAGCTATCCACAAATACTACTTGAAGCATTTCACCCTTGGTTGCCTGAGCAGTGGCAGTAAGCTCTTTGCTAGACCTGAAGAAAGAGGACCACAATTCCTAGATTTTGACTTGATGAACAATTTACTATGGTACACAGGGAAGATGGGTCAGATTCAGAGAATCTAGATTTTTCTCTGAAGTAATTTTAGTCTCTTTAACAAAGCACACATGGCTCTACTCAACTAGATGACAGAATTAGCCCTTTACCTCCAAGGCCTGACACTGTCCTCTGCTAGCTTTCTGTTTTACTGACCTTACATCCCCCCCAACTCCCCAGCTCCCAGCTGCTTCCTCTTATTTTTCCAGCTTCCTTGCCCCCCACCCAACCTCTCATTTCACTTTCTCTCCCCTTTCATTCAGCAGCGAATGCTCAGAGAGCAGATGGCGAGTACTCAATTCAAGCCGGTGAAAATGCTCCCTGAGTATCAGGTACGAGGCAATCCCAGAAACAGGAATCCTAGGGGTTGCGATACAAACACTCTCTGCCTTTTAGTGATTTCCACTTTAGATGGGAAAGGCATAATATGCTTATTCTTCACATATGGAAGAATATCTTCAGACCAATTTATTAAATAAATAACTAGTTTATTAATTAGTTATACTTAGTTATGTTTCTCAGGGACAAGAGGATTTTTTTTGTTTGCATCAGAATTGACTTTTATTCCTAAAGTAATTTGTCCAGGACCTAAATAGTACCTTTAGCAAAACTCATGAAGCTGTAGGAATCCCCCATATATGTCCTATACAAAAGTTCATTTCGCTAAAGATCAGTTATTCTCATCACTTAAACAAAGCATATGGAAGGATCCATGTTGGTACTACAATCTGTGTTTAGCCCTCTCCCCAGAGAATAGCTGCAAAAACTGAAAGGAAACCTTGACTACTAGAGGTAGGTTTGGGATTTGTTCCACAGTGACCTTAAAACTGCAGGAATTTTGGGATGGAAACTTACCCAGGGAAACAGGGAGGGGAGAGGGAAAAGGGCACTCCCAAGTCCAAGAGCTCCAATCAGTAAAGTTTAATTTAGTCTCTCCTGGTGGCTCTAAGAGCCCTGGTAAACACCTGGTCCTAGAGATATTGCACGGATGATACCTAAAGAGAATCAGCAGATACAGACCAAATTCAGTCTGTGCTAATTCCAACCCAGAATGACATACTCAAGGTTTTGAAAGGCCAGCCGGGACACCCCAGGGACTAACTTCCTAGTTCATAATGGATTCTAATCAATTTGAAGACAAAACAAAGACCTCCTAATGTGGATTCTCTTAGAAAAATGGCTCATGAGTAGGACTATGCCATAACTATTATCCTATTTCGGTAAACAAATATTTATCAAGCATCTATTAAACGCCAGGAGCTGTACCAGTCAGTTACTGGAATACTTTTTAAGAATCTCCTCCAGTAGAAAAATCAAAACTTGGAAAGAAATAATTATAGAACAGTTAGACGTTTATACAAAGTGCTTATAAGATCACTGGGAAGGAAAATTTTAAAGGGGCTACTTGCTCTAATACTAAATGAGACTGCACCTCATTGGTTCTCACGTGATAGCTTTGATACTGAAGATTGTCATCTAAGGTTGCTGAATATCAAAACTAATGCTTAAGAGGCTGTATGCTCAGGGCTAAGTATAATCCAGACTGTTACTGCAAACTGGAAAGTGGGAAGTGACCATGCATTGGCTTTTAAAACTGGTAAAGTAATTCAGTCCAGTTTTGTGTATTGGATCTATTTTGCTAATACAAATTTGTGTAAGTGTATACTCAGCTAACAAAACAAATGCATGTTTATAAACATTTACCCATTCTCAGAACCTTTTTTATGCTACTGTCTGTGGGGCTGCTGCCTAGTAAGAGTGACTGACCAGGCTCTGGCCGCTGTCTGACCTGCTATCCTTCTGTGGGGCCAACCTGACCAGAGGGGGTCAAAAGCTTCTCTGATGCTAGCTGTGCACTGCACACTGGAAAGACCCACTTTCTTGCTGCTGGGCTCTGGGCCACGGCCACTCTGACAAGATTAACACCAGCTTTGAAACAGCCCCCATCAACTCGGATAAGAACATGGATCAAAGACAGCACCATGGGACACCCTGGTGGCATCAGGTGGACATTACAGGTGGTGATCATTTGGGTCAAAGACTTACCTTCCCCCCCAACAACCTCCCCACTGGAAAAACGCTGTCCTTTAAAAAAAAAAAAAAGCAATGTAGTAATAAAATAAACAGGAATTTGTCGCTAGAAAACATAGATTCAATTTCTGGGCCTGTCACTTTAACATCTCTGAGCCTATTTCCTCAAACCCCAAAATAAGGCTAATAACATTTGAGAATTAAAAGGAGTCAAAGCACTTCATAAAACAACTACTTCCATTACGAATGATGAAGTATTTGTCCTATGTCCTTGCATTTTTCCCTCCAAATTTTACATTAAGAAGGTAAAAAGGGCATGAACCCTTTAAGTCACTTCTTTGGAAATAAGCCCAATCTGATTGGAGGACCACACTGCATATCAGATCTAAGCTATGCAGTCCACCTGCCAAGGATTTCATGAACATACTTATTTATCCATAAATATTTATTAAGGTGTGTATGTACTAACATACTATCTTGGAAAAAGTGTCAAAAAGTTATTAACATAGTCTTCGCTAAGAGTTTACCATGTAGCTGGGGGAAATAAAACATACATGAGACAACCAGACAACTTAATGGCAACATGCAAGTGTATGCATTATGTGACACTAAGTATGCTGAAGAAAAGCAAAGGAAAAATACAGTGCAGTTAGTCCAAGAATGCTTTTGTCTTTAGCTGATCATGAAGGGGTGGAAGAATATTTAATGGCACAAGGAATGTGGGTGCTTGTAAGACTTGTGGGTGTCTGCTAAATGTTTGCTGAGTCTCTTGGCTTTGAGAGAACTGCTTATGCTAGCTGATCCTCTATCAGCCTAAAGACCAGGGTCAGGGTCCTGGAGTAATGTTAAGATTCCCAAACCAAGGAAATACTACCCAGTTTTTTCACTCTGTACGTGAATGCCTCTATAGATTACTAATAAAAAAGAACCAAAATAATTCAATCCCAACGAGAAATCTGTAGAAGTTCTCACTGATACAGGACCACTAAATTCAGAGAGAATTTAAGGCTTCTTTAAGAATCACGCTTAAGCAAGAAAGATGGAAAAAGGAGACCCAGGAGAAAGCAGCAAGAGAGCGAACTCCTCTGCTCTTTTAGGAGACAATGGCATCAATTCTTGAGATCTGTACTGAAAAGTAACAACTTTTGCAACAGAACAACTTTCTTTTTGACTTTGCAAGAATGATTTTGGGGGCAACATTTACTTTTCCAATTATACTTGGCTTAGGCTCGCATTTAAGTTACAGTTGACCCTTGAACACAGGCTTGAACTGCACAGGTCCACTTATACGTGTTTTTTTCAGTACATGTTACAATACTACACAACCCGCGGTTGTTTGAATCTACAGATGCGTAACTGCACATACAGAGGGTTGACTGTAGTTATCTGGAAATCTTACACTGCGTGGAGGGTCACCCCTGACCCTGGCATTAAGGGTCAACAGTAATTTGCATTTCCTAGCTTCATATCTGAGGAATTATTTGATGCAATGTTAGGATTATTACTTTCTCCAATTATCTACCCAGTTAACCAACAGTTCGTAAAATAGGTTTCTATAGCACTTTGCTTTTAAGGAGTACTAAGTTCTTTCTCTTGTCAATCAACGTTTATTAAACTTGGCCAAATGGAGGTGGGAGACAAATCCAAATAGCATTTTGAAGAACCCTATCTGGCAAGTAAACATTTGGCTCACTGGGAAATACAAACACGACAAAAATTCCACTGGGTAGAAAAAATTAACAAAAATTTCAACAGTCATAAGATTGGGAGGAGATTAAATGCATCACAGAGAAGAGAGCTATTATATGGGTTTAGAAGCTTGCTTTTTATAGTTTCAGAAATTAAATTTAACTTGATAGTGATAAGGATTTGAAGCTGCAGGGTGAGTGCTAATAAGAGGGAAGGAGAAAAGTCTGAAAACATAAAACACAGAAGTAAAAACAAGCATGGTCAGTAAAATATTTACCAGATCAGCCAGAGCAGGGGAAGATGTGATTGCAAATGGTGCTAAATTGTAGACTATAACCCATTGTTTCATACTAGGGAGTGACAGTTTTAGGAAGATCAGATTTGATGGCCAGGATGGAGACGGGTCATCAAAACCAGTTAACTAGTTTTTCATTACTTTAGTAATGAATTTGGGTGCACAGACAAGGATGCCAGTATGGCAAATGAAGATGGGACACAAATCCAAACAGCATTTTGAATAACTCTATCTGGTAAGTAAACAGAATCTCTATCTAGCTCAAGTCATAGATACAATGGTACTGTGGCTAATAACTGGTGATATTAAGTCGCAGCACTTGACTCTCACATTGCTGCATGTTTACTACCTAGTTTTAGAGGACAAATGAGTCATTTAAGATTTTTTTGGTAGTGTGCTTGCTGTACTGCTAACCAACATTTTACATTCCTAGTCTTATGCTGTGGACGTCACTCTTATTTTGTAATTCAAGTTAAGAAAAAGTCTCCAAAAATTGTTAGAAACATACCAGGAGGTAAAAGGATGGAAAATGTCTTAATGTTACTTAGATTTTTCTATAAGTATCAACTGAATAAGGATTTATTTCCAACTTGGAAACAAGAAACTGGGACTCTATTAACTGGTTACTTATTCAAGATACTCAGAAAGGGAAGTAAAGTAATGTGAATTTCTAGGTTTCTCTTCAAATGCAATTGAACTGAGTGCCTCCTCGGTGCACAGCATTGTGCTATGTACCTGGGAGGAAAGGGGATGAGGTTATGACCTGTTGGAAAGGAGATATATATGTAAACAACTCACTGATAAAGGCAGATTGGCTTAAGTTTTAAGATACAGTAGAACAATACTCTTCAGGAACAATGATGAAGGACCAATAGTGCTTATTCAGTGACTATCATGTGCCAGACACTGTCTTGGTTCCTTAGAAAGTAAAAACTCATGAATCAAGTAAGATAAGGTAGATAAGTGGATAGAGCAAGCAAGGTAGGTGATAAATGCTATACTAGACATACACAAAGTCTGTGCCAACACAGTATGACAGACGTTAGTTTTCAGAGAGGTGACTCGAGATTATTCAAGGTACGTTGCAGAGGGCTGACTCCGAATGAAGAAGAGATGGACGGCACTGCAGAAGGAAGAAACAGGAGGACCAAATACAAGAAATGCTGGACAATGCCAAGTCCTGGGTTATAGAGTATATCAGGGGGAAGGCTAGAGATCAGACTAAAAGGTAGGCCAGGGGCCAGGTTACCAATGGCCTCAGATTCAGTCCAGGACTTCCAAGTCCTAGTTAAAGGTGGTAGGTTGTCTTTTGTTCAACTGATGTAGCAGTCCATTCCAAAGGATTAAACCTAAATAAACCACCTGAAAGCTTATCCCAAACTTACAAACGCTCTCCTAATACCCAGCACTTCAGGGTACAATTCTGCCATGCCATCTGGCACTTAAAACAATCTCCAAGTTTAGTCTTTTTATTTTATAAAGAGAATTCTAGATTTTCATTTGAGCAATTTAGGATTTATGGTCTCTCTTCACAAGTTAAATCAGGAAGATATCAGAGCTAAGGTTTTTAGAATTAGGAAAGGCATAATCTAGTGCACTTTTAGTTCTCTCAATCCAATTTGCAGCAAGGCTGCTAGTCCGCAACTACCTTCTGTAGCCTCATTTGCTACATAAAATGTGAGTTTAGCAAAGTAATCTCCACTTTGTAAACCTGATTGTATTTTCTCTTCTAAAATACCTTTATTTGTCCTCTTTTAGTGTCTTATTCTTCAAAGTAGACAAGTTCCTAACATTTGTGTTTTAAGGCAAGTGCTCCCATATTGGTGTTGACTAAATTGGATCAAGTGGGCCTAAAACACTTTAATACAATATTCTTGGTGACAATAAACAGGAAGCCTGTGTCCTTTACATTTTTGCAATGTAAAGTTGAAGGGGGGGTGGTGGGAATGACAAATGCTGAAGTGTTAGTTCCTAATAATTTTGGCTTTCTTAAAATAAAATGGCATTAAATAAACATGTCAAGAGAAGTCTGTACTGACTTTCTGATCACAAGATACTCTGCCTACTGAAACAAGGCCTGCAGAACAGAAAAATAAGGCTAACCAACCTGATGAATAAACAGGGTTTTAAGGCACACTAACAATCATTGGAAGTCTCAGTAATGCCAAGAAATAAAGATTAATTTCACTCCCCAAAGTGTTTCACACCATAAAAACAAATGATAAAGGCTTCTGAAAGCATACTTCATTTTTACATTATATGACCAATTTTTGGGTTAGATTTGGGGGGGGAGGCACACACACATCTACTCCTGTACCCAATTCTTACACGCTGGCCTTACTATTCCATACCTGGATATACAAGGTAGGCAGAAAAACAAGCAGATTCACATCTTTTGCATTTTCTCCTAAGTCCCAGAACCCAGTTAGTTTTCTGATTTACAGATTTACTCATCAAGTACTACTCAAAACCTAAATGAAAAGGGAAAGAATTCTGCCCAACAGATGGGGAGGCAAAGGTAAAGTTTCAGGAAAAAAACTTAGACCCAAAACCCTAACTTTGGAGCTGATATAGAGGATTAATATAGTTTCCACCTTGCTGTATGGATTCTTTACCCTAGGGTATTTCCTGGTTGATTTTGTATCATAGCTCCCTCTAGTGGCTAAGTAAATTTCCCTAGCGTTTACTCAAATTGGGAGTGGAATAGACCATTGTAAAAAAACCCTACAAAAACCCAAACAACTCATTAGGCATTTGGCATCCCTACAAAATTAATGTTTGTTCAAAGTATACTTGGTGAGGATGAATAAGGCATTCTAAGAAAGCTCTCAGTTTCTACTATCTTCACATTGGTAATTCTATTAATAATTGTAAAAGGAGTTAAAGATACTTTAACCTGATGGTTGAATGTTAGAACTTTTTCTAAGAGATGAAGATGAAACACCCAGGATCTACTTAACTCTAAATGTTTGTTCTGTTTCATTTGTGTTTTGCATACCTACCTAACCGGGAACGTCCTTATGCAAAGGTATGCTTGATTTTTCTCTCCCATAACCCAGTGAGGCATCTATTTTGAAATGTTTATTATGAGGTTACTTCTGCCTAAATTAACTAGTATTTGACAGAGACTACAGAAGCACCAAGCGACTTTTGTAATAAAAAAAAAAATCCTTCTCTCCTTCCATCCCTACAAAATCACAACCACATTCAAGGTTGTCGGGTATAGCTTTCAAAGTTAGCAAGAAGCACCGCCCCCTACCCCCCAAGTTCTCAACCACAAGAATAAGCTGGTTGAAGTATACCGTTAACTTCTTGGATCTATATTTAAAGCAAAAGTTTTTGCCAGGATTACTATTTATTCAATAGACAATCACGAGAGACACAATGAACAGATGTTTCCTTATAATCTCTTTACTTCATGCCAATCCCACCTTTTCCTATAGGGTCATATTGATCAATGTTCCTGTAAAAAAAAAAAGTACCAGAAAAAATTACCCCCAAATAGAGTATTCCACCATATAGGATGGGATGGCAGGATATTTCCTTCAATGGAGTACAACTGATGAGAGTCCACCATAGCAACAGAACATAAAGAAATGTGAGTCATACCTTTTCTTGTGGCTACTTCAGTCTAAAAAGACGGGGAACTTACAGCTCAATCAATAAAGGATCCACAGTAACCGGTTTGTTTTCATTCACATGCTCAAAACTACACAGCTTTCGCTCTGTGTATCCTGTAACAGTTCTACAATCCCTTATCCGGAACTCTCTGGGGCAGATGTATTTGAAATTCAGAGCTTTTTGCACTTTATAAAATGCATATATATACCATATATCATATATAGACCCTTTATCACATAACACTCTCAGCAAAACCTATGGCAACTGACACATCAATATTTCTGCAGGAAGACAATTCAGTCACAGTTAAGTGCAAAACAAAGGCATCGATTTTGGTCACATTTTATATTCAATTTGCTCCACAACAAAAAACTTTGTTTTTGGAGTTTTGGGATAAGAGATTGTGAACCTGTTTTCTGCCTTTGCATTCTTCATACCATGACAGAAATAAGCTAAACCAAAGGATGGTTATAACAGAACTTCAGTCTAATGGAGTTTCTTTCCTTTTAATACTATTTATGGTAAATAACAGACATATAACTTATTTTGTTTGCAATTTCATCACAACTTCATGTACAAAGTAAGCAAAAACGCACACAAGAAATTCATCTTCACAGAAACTTGAAAAAAGAACACCAGCCCTAATGAGCAAATATATTTCAAAGACAAAACTGAGAAAGTTAAAATTCTAGAATCATATGGAACTTAAGCACTATGCGTGGATACACGAATAATGGAATATATTATTAAAACTATAAAATTTAGGGGAAAAAACATTTTAAATGAGGGAAATCTGTCCATATTCCAAAGAGTTTCTTTTTTAAATTAATAAAATTCAGATCCCAAACAATTAGGAATCAGAAAATGGGTTTCTTACCTTTTGTTTCCAGAAGGATGTGGGCTGAACAGCAAGGTGGGTTACTCAATCTGACGTTATGAAAAATAATTGCTTCTTAGAGACTTAAGTTTTTCCTTGGTTAGAAAATAATAAACTAATTATAGGCTCCCTACAATATCTAAGGGGACATAAATAGGGAGAAAAGGGGAAAATCCAAGACAGCTTTTTTAGTTCCAAAAGGGTGTGACTTTCTTCTAATAGCTGCTAATCTAGGTAGAGATTTAAGGTCCATTTCCTAAGACTGAAAAACAGCAAGTCTGCCTCTCCCCTTACAGCATTTAGCTGTCTGGTCTTACTGAACTGGAAAACCTGCATCCTTCTACCTTTCAAACAGTTACGTCCTCTCTAATCTTAAACAGCCTATATACTAGGGAAGTAATATTTTCTACCTCACTTCAGTCAGGGGTTGGAACTACCTGTAGTAGAGCACATCTTTCAGCGTAGCTTAAATGCAATTTAAGTGATGGCAACTTAACTTTGCCAACTTTGAGCGATGGCAATTTTCATTTTGGTTCTGTTTCCAAAATATTCAATGAACACAAATGAACCCAGGCTTGCTTAAGTCTAGCTCATGTTAATCTTTCCAAAATTAGTCATTAAAAAATACCAATTGTATATTCTACAGATGAAACAGAACTTGTTTTACGTGCCTGTCTGCTCTTGAACAGTTGTTTTGAATTCTCACATAACTAGAGTTACTCCCTTAATGAATCTATACCAAGTGTTTTGCTTAAATACTTAAAATGGAATCCTAATTTTGAACTTCCTCCTGACATTCCAAAATCCCTCCTCTTCCTCCTGACATTCCATAAGGTTCACTTAAATGTACTGGTTGGGTGATCTTATGCAAATCCCTTTGGGCCCATTTTCTCTACTACCAAGATTTCTAGTGTTTCCTAGGTTTGAAATTCTGTCAACTGAATAGCAATCTTAAATTCTGCTTCCAAGGATAATTAACACCCAAGGGAAATGTTACGACTTAGCTACCTTTTGGGTGTAGAAAAAGAATGGTTTGATGGTTGTGACTAGCTATCAGGAAATCAGAAGATTAGGAATTCTAAGTAAAAACCCCTCCCCAACTCTAAATTGAAAACTTAGCACCAAGGGGCTATCAGGTAAAGATACAAAAACCAGTAGACTACAAGACGTAATCACTGCTTTGGTATGTTCTGGATACAGAATAACTTTATGGTTGAGAAGACTTCCAAGGCAAAATTCTAAAGAATGCCCAGCTTTTTATTAGCAATGATTTACTCAAATAAGCAGTTAATCTTCTAGTGTGCTATTCACACTTTGAACAGAAAATGTAATTTACGTTAAGAATCCTAATCTGTGCTGAATTTAAAACTTACCAATTTTTTAGATGAGTTTAGTTTTATTGAGAAACTCAAAGGCTAATAACACCATTAATTTACTAGTCCTCACCCAATTTTGCACAAAACCCTATGCTGTCTAGATGATCACCCAAAATAAGCAGCATCTATAAGCTTTTCATCATTTTTAAAATCAAAGCTCTGAAACTTATCCTTCAGAGACTAGATCACCGCCTCACTTACCATATTACATACACAATTGCCTTATTCTCATTTTTTATCTTCCCCTGAAGACTTTTCACAACAATTAACAGATAGCTAATAACATTTATTAGAAAAGTCCTTTCAAGAACCTTTAATTTACTAACACATAAACACAAGAATCGGAATCTTATCAATTTAAAGTATTAACTGAGACTAGTCAACCAGTAAAAATTCTTACAAGAGGAAAAAGGACAACCATGCATAGTTTTTTTAAAAAAATGTTTATTTTTTCAAAGAAAAACGGCAATAGCCAATTGGAAACCTACTTAGTCTTCAACTCCAATTTTGTTTTCTTTAAATTTAGAAGCGACTTACTGTTTTACTATTTTAAACAAACCCCCCCTTTCCCCTTTAAATGTTTACCATCTACTCGTGCTGAATCCTTCCAAGGAGATTGCTCCAGCGTATATCTCCAGGTCCTCGCTTTGCTCCTTTTACCAAAAAATGCAAAACACAATTCCATCGTGCATCTTAAGGGCTCCAATCGTCAAAAATAGGAAAAAAAAAAAAAATCTTTGGAATAGCCAATTAAGTTGAATAAAAAAAAAAAAAAAAAATCCACACGAATGCGGTTTGGTTGGGGCAGGAATCCACTCCTATGTTCCTGGTAATCTGATCCCGCTCCATGAATCCTTGTAATTCATCCTCCCTATCCTATCCACATTATGATTTGAATCCAATGATCCAGCTCCAAGGATTGGGATCCAGTGAGCCCTCTCCAATCCAAACCTTTATAACCAGCAAAACCAAAAAAGAGGAGGCAAAATGTTAGATACTGTAATCAAAAAAGGTTTCTGGGGAATGATGAGTTATGTCTGTCATCAGTTTAACAGATGTACATCAATAACTATCAAATTCCCCAAAACAAGTTTCTGAATGGTGTTCAGATAAATTTTAGAAACTTAATCATCATAGAGACTAACTGGAAGAAGCATTTTATATTTACAGTTCAACTGATAATGCCAACACTTGTTACTGTACAGCGTATTACAGGTTTTGTGGTTGCAAAAAGTCATGTAGTTGAGTTTACTGGTATTGCTACCCACCTAAGTCTAAACTAAATCTAATGCTCCCATCTGTAATTTAATTTGTAAATTAAAATGTTTTAAACATATGAGTCAATTATGAATATTAGTTTAAAGGGGAAGGTGAGACTTAAAAGTATTCCCAACTAGATTATCTACACCAATACGTTGGAACTCTATATTTTGCTTTCATTTTGTCTTAAAAAAAATGAAGTAGCAACGCTATATCAGTCACACAGAGGACATGCAGATTTAGCAGTATTGATATTATACTCTATCCGGTTGGAATTAAAGACACCCTGTACCCACATGTACACCAACAGCAGGTCACACATTAACAGTTGTAACTAAGCATTGTGACAAATTAGCCAGTTCTTCCCACATTAGTCCCTATTAAAACAAAAAAGGGTAGGGAGCAAAATAAATTGTTACAAAATGGGCAACGTAATTTTGCCACAATTGCCAAGGTTTAAAGAGCAAAGCAATTGTAGCTAAAGGTCACTGCATAAGATGTTTGCAAGTGTTTTAAGGTAGATGTACAATCATTTTAAACCCTTGCCTTTTAGTATAAGGTCAATACTGCCAATTTCATCTGTGACAATAGCACTTGGAGTCATACCATTGCCTCCATTATTGATCTGATCCTCCTCAATCCTCCTTTTGACAATCCTAAAATGATTGAAATGTGCTCCACAATCCTTAATCCAAAGCATTCTTAATCCATCTCTTCAGATATGTCTACAGAAAGACACATGAAAAGCAAGATAAACATAAGAACTTCCCCAGGTAAGATAACCACAAACACCCCCAACAACCCAGTTCACACAAACCAGAGCAGAATAGACATTTACATAATATCACAGTCTGAAGAGCATGGAGAGTTAACTAAATTTAAACAATCCTGTCTATGACATCACTTAAAATACAATTTATCAGACATGAGGGGAATGTAGATGTTAGGAGCAAGGGGATATTACACAAGAATGCAATTCAACACTTTAGCCCATTCTGAACAAAACAGTTTGAATTAAAAAATGAAAAGATTGTACTGAATAAAGGAAAACTGTATACAACATGGGTTCTACAAAAAGTGTCACCAATCATCTTATGTACGAGAGCGAGATCTGCTATGACGGGGAGAATAGCGTGGTGATCCTCTGCTTCTCCTTGGGGAATAACTGCGACTCCTGCTGTTGCTTCTGCTACGGCTTCTGCTACGACTACGGCTTCGAGATCGAGATCTTCCATAACTTGGACTTCTGGGCCCATCAACTTTAACCCGGATGTAGGCAGTTTCTCCCTATTGAATAGACAGAACTTTCGATTGAAAGATCTAAGCTTTCACCTGTCTTCAGGCATGCTGAATTCAATGTAACTTAAACCAGAGGCACTTTACTGGGTTTACTCGGACACCCTTGCCTGAATCTTACCTTCAAATTCCACTGTTAAGACCACTGTATCCAATTCTGGCCAAAGAAAAGAATAAGTGTATAACCTACCTCATGAGATCTAAACTTAGTGTTATCCAGTTTTCGAACTGCATAGGTCATATCTTCTTTCCGTACAAACTCCACGACACCAGTGCCATCTCGGTAAACATCAGCATAACATACATCACCTGCTTCACGCATGTGATCCTTCAAATCCTGCCAGCTTCCACTTGGAGGCAGTCCTGAAAAAGTTATTTTCAATACCAATTATCCTAAAGTTCACATTAAACTTAAAATTTACATTAGAACAAAGATTACTTTAAAATTAACGATTATTTTTAACATCCTAGGTTAAGGAGCTGTTAAGATTCTGGAATCAAGAGCCCAAAATTATTTGCAAAGTAAGGATCTTCATATTCTAGGTACTGCAACCTAATTTGGCAAATCTCAAATACAGCAATCCCTGTTTACTAAATTCACCCACAAGACTAAAATAATTTAAGACCTGGCATGAAAACTTGCATTTGTCAAACTGGTCATGCAAGGAAAACTTTAAAATGGTTTCTGCCCCCTTTCATCAACTCGCACGGAACGGTCAACTCACCAGAGACAACCACTCTGTTTTCAGAGCGCCTGGACGGGGGACCATAGCGGCCTCGGGGAGCCCCGCCACCTCCACCCCCGCCGCCGCCTCGGCCTGTACCACGGCCGCTTCGAGGAAACTCCACCCGCAAACGGTATCCATCGTAATCGTAGCCGTCGCGTCCATACACCGCGTCTTCCGCATCCCTGCGTGATCACAGAAAAGCAAAGGGGTAAGGAAAAGGACCGGGAGGGGCGGCTAACTCGGTCGGAGAGCTAGCGGCCCCCCGCACATGCGCACCTGGGGTGGAAGAGCCCACATGCGCTGCATAATAGGAATGGCCCCTCCCCCACCCAGAAGCACGCCAGGCTGCCGACCACTACGGCAGCCCTCGGCGCCTCAGTTTCCCGCTCCGAGCCTGCAAGTCGGCTCTGGGGACGTCCGGAGGGCCCAGCCACAAGAGAAGCCTCGACGACTCGGCTCCTCACTCCACTCCTGCATGAGCGATTCGTCTTGCTCCCAACCTCAGAGCCCACCTCCCCATTCTCCATGCGAAGGCCTTGGAGCCTTCCCCAACTACTCCAACCTATTTCCTCAAGGCAGCAAGACCCTGACCGCCTCACCGCGGGTCCTCGAACTCAACGAAGGCGAAGGGCGGTCCTCCGCGGCGGTTCTTCAGATCGATGTCGCGGATAGCACCGTATTTGTAGAACACGTCCTCAATGTCCTTGGTTCGGATGTCTGGAGGTAAGTTCCCCACGTAGATGCGGCAGTCGTTGTTCCCTGCCGGCCCACGAATCACACCACCTCCCGACATGGCGGCGACGAAAGGCGCGGACTCGAGAACAGGTCTTCCCACCAAGCCTAGCGAACAGCAGAGCGAGCCCACAGCTACACCACGTCTCCCGCGGCCCCTCCAAAATGGCGCCTTTATCAGCTCGGCGCACGGATATGGGGGGAGGGAGGAAGAGAAGCGGGAGGAAGCAGCTATTCGATCTCACTACGCACGCGCAGAAGCGTAACGGGTGCTGCGAAAGGCACGCTGGCGCACGCGCGACGTCACCCTCCGCGCGAAGGGAAAAAAAGTTCCCGCGTTTCCGATTTTGTGGAGAGGTTCGCGAATGAAGTGACCGGCTGAGTGGTAAAGATTAAATACACAGCCCTCATAAAAGGGGTTATTAACCTCTGTCGAGTCCTAAAGAATAATCAGTTTCCCCAGGAATGGGTCTCTTAAAGCAACGGCGCCCTGAAAGGATTTGGTGAAACCTAGCCGAGAGCTTTGTCCCACCATGCTCTGCGGTGTTAACGGCCTTTGGCGGGAAAGACTCACGGGGGCGGAGTCTAAGGGGGCGGGACCGGGCGGTTGCTCCGGAAACGGGGGCGTCCTAGGAGAGTGCGCCTAGTTCAGCAGTTGCGTTGTCTGTGATTCAATGCAGAGCCAAGGCGTGACTTTGTCTTTCCGCCCCGTCTCCTGCGAACTGGCCGTGGGCTGCTTACGTAAGTGTCTCATGGAGGGGAACCCAGCTTAGATTCCCTAGTAAATAGACTACACTAAAGTACCGTTCCACTTTCGGTTCGGAACCGAGCTTTGTATATAGCTCAGTTAAACACTCCTTGTGCTAGTGGCGGTGATTCGTGCTCTGACCAGTCATTGGTGGTACCTGCCACCCAGGACCCAGACCTCTGCTTCTCTCTTCAACAGCCTATCGCTAGGCCCAACGCAGCGGAAAGGTCCAGTGAAGGTTGCAGAATGAATTGTGCCTGTTATTTCTCCAGCTGCTTTCAAAGAACGAGAAAAAGCGCTCCTGCCTCTGTGTATTGCAGAATCCTGAATTTCCTTCCTTTTTTTGAAGTCATTACCAGGCTTCTCAAGTAATATGAATGAGCACAATGAATGTGTGAGTACTACTGGGACCACTGGGGACCACAGTTGCTGCTCAGGACTGATCCTGGCAGCATGCTGGTCCAGGGAGGTAAGAACTTTTTACATTTTTTCCTCAGTGACATCTGAAATCTAGATTTTTATATGAAATGCTGGGGTTTTTAAATATTAGTGATGAATTCAAATTAAGAAAAACAACAACAACCCTGCAGTTATCAATATGCTAAAACAGATCTGCACTCTAAGTGTGAGGATAATTTTTTTCATATTATGTATTTATTTGCAACTCCCTCTCCCCAGGGATGTGAGGCAGTTTACAGAGATACCATAAAACTTTACTAAAACTGGATGGAGAAATCACGGGGAAAATAAGGGAGGAGGATTAAAATGAAGGCATTGATAAGATTAGTACACAAAATGCCCGCAGTAATAATTTGGTGAACTCCTAGAGATGGACTGCAAATTTGCCTGTGGCCATCCCGGAAGTCACAGTAAAGAAAGGAACACAGTATGTTCAAAATCCAAAGTGCCTTTGAAATTTAAAAAAATAGATCGTTTAGCAGAAGGGCATGTTTTCAGTTCTGAAAGTTGACTGAATGTATTTTACAAATGTTTCTAGTAATCCCAAAATACAAATTTAATTTGCTCCTCAACAGATCCATAGAGGATCTTTGGTAGTCCTTGAAATCTCTTTGGTGGTTTCCAAAATTATGAGTATATGTGCATGTACTTTTTTGTCTGTCCTTTAGCTCAGGAGTCCCCAACCCCTGCGCCGAGGACCGATACTGTTCGTGACCAGGCCGCACAGCAGGAGATGAACGGCAGGCGAGTGAGCAAAGCTTCATCTGCCGCTTCCCACCGCTCCCCATTGCTCGCATTACCGCCTGAACCTTCCCACCCGACCCCCCATCCGCGGAAAAATTGTCTCCCACGAAACTGGTCCCTGGTGCCAAAAAGGTTGGAGACCACTGCTTTAGCTCATCCTTCAATGACATATTTTTAAACTGAACTTTCAATTTAAAGAGAGAAGACCCTGGGAATTTCCTGGAGGTCCAGTGGTTAGGACTTCTTCCTTCCACTGCAGGGAGCATGGGTTCCATCATTCCATCCCTGGTCAGGGAATCCCACATGCGCAGTGCGGCCAAAAGAAGAAAAAAGAGAAGACCCTGATAATTTTTCAGTGAGAAGCTGACCAAAAGGGACACTATTTCAACAGATTTATTCATTTCTAGCACTATCCTACTTGGTTAGCAGCAGAAGAGATGAGAGTTTTTAAAGAATTCCAGGCACATCATGTATTGGTTCTTACATTCAATATTTATTTACTGAGCACATTTTCTATCTAATTTTATCCATCCATTTATGATTATTCAGATTCATCTTTGGTTGATTAATGTTAAGTCAGTAATAACTGAAGTGATTTAAACATAGGTGCTTTTGATTTCAAGGCATTTTCATTCCAGAAAAATAAGAAAACCATGAATTGGCTTTGATTTATTCTTGTCCAATTTAATGCAGTCATTTCTGATTCTGTTCAGTTCAGAAGAATACAGGGTAAAATTTAATAGAGAGTGAATAGGACATTCTTGTTTCTCTCTTGGCCTATTTTACTGTGTTTGAGTGTAACCAAATTGTAGGTTCTGGGGTCTCTTGTAACCGAAAGTGGGGTTCGGCTGCTCACTGCTCAGAAACCAATAAAGGCCAGGTTGGTGGAAAGGAATGTTCGCTTTATTTTGGATGCCAGTGACTGTGGGGGAGGGTAGATGCCTGTCCAAAAGGCCGACTCCCCCCACCCCTCCGCCCCCGACAATTGGGGCAAGAGCTTTTATAGACAGAGGGAGGGGGCCACATGCAGAAATAATACAGTCAGCTCTGACAGTCATCTTGAAATTGGTCATCAGTGGTCTTACCAGTGTCATCTTGATTGTTTTATGTACAGTTAATCTTCAGTTCCAGGTTCGGTTTGTTTCCATTTCTTTGAGGCCAGTTTTCGGAATTGTGGAAGCTTATGTCATGGCTACAGCCTGGTCATCATGTAGTTAACTTCTTCCACCTGGTGGGGGCTTCAGTGTCTATAAGACAGCTCACAGGATGTGGCTCAGAATATTGTCTATAGCCCTTAAGGAGGAACTAAAGGTCCTTGACTATGCTTAATGACTAAACTATTATTATTTGGTCTCCTGTGTTTTCTTTGTTTCTGCATTTTCTCACTTCTCTGATTAAACTTATCCTTTGGCTAAAGTTTTTCCACAGACAGAAGGCAGGCTGGGACTTCCTTGGTGGTGCAGTGGTTAAGAATCTGCCTGCCAATGCAGGGGACACGGGTTTGAGCCGAGGTCCAGGAAGGTCCCACATGCCGCAGAGCAACTAAGTCCGTGCGTGACAACTACTGAGCCTGTGCTCTAGAGCCCGTGACCCACAACTACTGAGCCCATGTGCCACAACTACTGAAGTCCGCGCACCTATAGCCTGTTCTCTGCAGCAGGAGAAGCCACCGCAATGAGAAACCTGTGCACCACAATGAAGAGTAGCCCCGCTCGCCGCAAGTAGAGAAAGCCCGCGCACAGCAACGAAGACCCAACGCAGGCAATAAATAAATAAATAAATATTTTTTTAAAAGGCAGGCTAAGGACATGGGTGCGGGATGGGCAAGGACCATAGGGTCCTGGTCTATTTCACTATGACAAGGTCAGGGTGTAGCAAGAAAAGTCTGGATGGCTGTTTATCAAGGTCTCCTTGGGTGACATTAGCTTGGAAATTATTACATTTAAGGGTATGATCTTATACTATCAGTGTCCCAGAGTAGATTGGCATGTTTTAGTACACAAGAGTGAAAAACAAGAAAGCGAATAAACCAAACCATTTGTTCATTTGTTGGGGGGTGAAACAGATTCATTTTTGATAACCGTGATGTTCAAATTGTACTCACCAAGAAAACTTTTTGTCAGATCTGGAAAGCAAATCAGACAGTTTCTTAGTAAATAAGGAATCAAAACAAAATGAGGTGAATCGCTTTGAGAGATGTCTCATTCAGATCCTGGTGAAACCTGATAAATGATCTCTGCCCCACAGCAGAGTGTACCTCTTCAAAGACAGGAAGATTCATACCCTCTGGACTTTGCATCTCTGTTCCCCGAATAGTGCTGGGTAAAGATTGGCAATTCTCTGTCTGTAGGCTAATCTTCATGCAAAATTTTCTCTGAACAGTGTACTATACAATTAATTAGATCTTTGCTGACCAGATTACAGCCACTTCGTTTTGCCTCCTGAGATTACCTCCTCATCTTAATTAGGGCTTTAGAGTGTTTCTAAACTCCTCAGTTACACAGTCACGGACAGTTTTATGAATTGCTCTCACAATTCATTAAGTATGGATTTTACCAGTTTAATTCTTAGAAGCTGCCTATTTCAATACTGTTGCTGTGTATGTAAAGTTACTTCCGCAAAAAGAAACTTTAAATGCTTTCGATTCAATCCTGTAAGTATAAACTAGTGTAAGCACTATACTGTACCCTGGAAATAATTACTTCGGGAAAAAAGGAAATTCAAAGAGTCAGTTACCGTAAGGGTTGAAATCACAAGACTCAGTTTTTCAGTGATTTTCCTAACACTTAAATCTACCTGTGGTGATGGTTACACAAATCTGTAAATATACCAAAAACCATTGAATTGTACAAGTAAAGCAAGTGAATTGTATGGTATATAAATTATAACTCAATAAAAAATTTTTTAAATGACTGGGGAAAAAAATATCTCCACAATCAGCAAAATCACTCTCCAGTACCATTCCTCTAAAGGTGTTATTAAGGCTTGGAGGTGTTCTAGAGTAATTTGCACTGAAATATGCCTTCCCTAATCTGGAAATTCTGTTTTCAGTATTTGTGTATCAATCCTTACTGTCATTTCTGGGGATAACTGTTAGCTTTACTAGGTGAAGAGACACAAAGATTAGGAGTACTTAATTCTGCCATGAATAGCAGTTACTTCCAGAAAGAGTTCACTTGCATAGTTCTCTATTCCCTTGTTCCACCTGTTTAGTGATTAGTATTCTCTGAGAAAAGAAGAAATATTAATGGTATATCTTTTTATTTCATTTATATTTGTTTCATCTTCCCTAGTAAACTAGGTTGAGGACAGATTTTTGCTGTAATTCCCTTTATTACGAGTACATTTTCTGTTAAAATGAATATTATCGACTATTTCCTGACTGCTCTTTGAAAATAATGGGACTTTAGATGAGCAGAATGTTGTTTCTATGGAAACTGTATCATGTTTCTGTCAGTGGATAGACACAATGGGTACAAGGATTGTTTTTCATTTCACAGTGTAATAATGATAGCCACTTTTCAAGCCCAAGTAAATCATCTAATAATATAGTCTTGGTAATCTTATTTTAGGACTGGCCTCCCTCATTCTTTGATTCTTCTTGTTTTGTTTTTGGCTAATTCTGCCCATCTTTACTGTCCTATTACGGATAACAATAACATGATTTTGCCAGAAAACAGCTCTCAAAATGATCTATTACAAAGAGATATATTTCTTCCATGTCTCCCTCTTCCTATTGATATTATTACTCCCTCTCTCCCTCTTCTTGCTTAAGTTCTTTCTCTTAAAAATTAAAACACCAAATCATATTGTACATTTCTTAATTGGAGTAAATGGCTGTTTAAAAATTATAATAAAAATATGGCAAATATCCTTTATTTGCTAACAATGCTATCTTTTTTGGCAATTTTATCTTATACTGTGAGCCCTATATAAGTGTTAGCTATTATTATTAGTAGTAGTAATGGTATTATATGTTAATGTGGCTGTCAAGTATGTTAGAAATAATTTCAATAAAAATTTTTTTATTTGAAATTTTGAGAGTATGACTGTTTTTTCCCCCTTCATTGTTTTAAAAGTTAGATTAGCTGAAAACTCTCAGAATTACTTTTCTAAATTTGCTTGCGGAGTTGAGTAGTTGCAACATAGAATACATGGCCCACAAGCCTAAAATATCTGGCCCTTTACAGAAAAAGTTTGCCAACCTCTGGCCAAGAGGGAAAAACCTGCTTTTGTAATTTTTGCCTAAACCTAATTTATAAGTTCAGTTTTGTCATGTTCTTTCTCTAGTAGGTGTTTTTGATGGGTAATATATATATATAATAATATATTTTTTTTTTTTTTTTTGCGGTACACGGGCCTCTCACTGTTGTGGCCTCTCCCGTTGCGGAGCACAGGCTCCGGACGCGCAGGCTCAGCGGCCATGGCTCACGAGCCCAGCCGCTCTGCGGCACGTGGGATCTTCCTGGACCAGGGCACGAACCCGCGTCCCCTGCATTGGCAGGTGGACTCTCAACTGCTGCGCCACCAGGGAAGCCCGATGGGTAATATATTGTTAATAGTTGTAAACATAAGTAGTACACTTCTTCAAGTGATACTTTGCTTACACATGCTTCAGCAGCCATTACTACAGTGTAATGCTAAGGTAACCTGCCAGCCTGCCCAGCCCAGAAGGGAAGGTGCTGCTCTGTTCCAACCAGTTGCATTTTTTTGTCGTCTCGTTGACTCAAAATTGCTCGTCGTAAGAGTGCAGGTTTCTGTAATTGTTCTTGCATTGACGCAAAGTCGTATGCAAAGAGTCCATACAGGTTCTGTTCTAAGTATCTGTTAATGTCCACTCACTGTGGAATTTGTAGGTAAATTTCCAAAATTTGCAGATTGTGTTCCACAGTTCTGGGAGCCCAGCAGCTTTCAGGCTGCTGCTAGTACCACCACTCGCCCCAGAGGACTACTAGATGTGGATACCTGTGTAGTCTACAGTCTAGACCCATGCCCATGGGATCCTTCCTTGTCTGGCCCCCACCTGCCTCCATGTGGTCAGGAGCTCACCAGCTGCAATTCCTTCCAAGTTAATTTCTACCCTTTGTAGTATCCAGACTCCAGGGGAGGAAAAGTTCTTTCCCTTAATTTAGAGTCTCCATTTCCTGTCTTGGGATCTATCTTTATATAAGACAATTGAGAATGAGAATATTTGCTTCTAAAGGAATTCCCTCTCTTTTCTGCAGGAATATAACCTCTCCCTCTGCCTCCTTATGGGCCAACATTGATATATTTTCCAAAGTCTGGGTTGTTTGCAATTAATACCACATGTAGGACCTTCTCACTGCATAGTCAAGGTTGAACCTCATCAGCCAAACATGGTCCAGTACATTTTTCTTTTTCCAGTTTCAGTTCTTCTAGTAAGTGATGAAAAACAAGTTTGAACATCCTTTATGTGGTCTCCTGGATCTGTTTCTGTTATAGTGCAAGACACAGCTTAAACAGGAACACACATCCCCGCAAAAACATATCTACATCCATATAGAGGTAAGTATTTCTGTCTATGCATTCCTAATCCCCCATAATAATTTTGCAGTGGTATAGCATGTGTTTGCCAGAAACAATGATTTACGTGCCCAAGTACTGATAATATATTCAGCTTCTCAGTCTAAAATATCTGCGGTCAGAAAGGAGCTTTCTTTATAATTTTTCCCAAGGTAAGTGGGTGTTATTTTATATTTGTGCAACTGGAGAGCCCCATTGGGTAGGCTTCCTAACATAAAAGAAAAGAAACAGTCTAAAGGATTATTCATATCTTCTACCTTTATAGATACAGTAACTGCTTATCACCTTAAAATGTGTTTTCCTAGCTTCAACTAAATCCAGGTTTTAAAAAAACTATAGATATTTCT